GGGGGGGGGGGGGGGGTGGGCAGCACAGAAAACAGGATGTAGCCCACCCACATCAGTTTTAGCCTTGGCACAGGAATACTGACTCCAGCATTCATTTAGGCAACTAAAAGGCCCAACATGGCATGTTCTTCAATGGCTGAAGGGTTGGATAGACCCATGGAGCCTGGTCGTCGGTGCTCCATAAAACTGACAGTTGGCGTCTGGCTTTTGAGGGTTTTCTCTAGTTGTCAGTGGAGCTAAAGGAAAAAAAAATCCTTCTGTCTCCTGAATTCCAAATGCAGGGAACACGCGTGACTCTTCCAGTCATAAAGGTTTTAGTGCAAATCCCAGCAACTAGGTCGCCAGTGCTCCTTAAAAATGACAGTTGGCGCCTGATTTTTGAGGTTTTCTCTAGTTGTCATTGTAGCAAAAAAAAAATCCTTCTGGCTCCTGAATTCCAAATTAATTTGTCCGATTTGCAAGGTAATGCTGTGAACAGGGTCTGCACTTGGCCCCTCCAGTGATGAAGGTTCCCATCTTTTTCCGGTGGCTGCCGATTTTACATAGGCGTTCGGCGCGCTTTGTAATTTACCTGGAATAGACTAAAGTTTGCCTGGTTCTGGCTGCAGCCTAATTGATCATGTGACCCGGAGGTCTTGTTTGCAGTATAGAGCAGGGGTGGGCAACCTCGGCACTGCCTGCAGCTGCAGTGGAACTACAAGTCCCATGAGGCATTGCAAGACTCTGCAGTTTCGGCACAGCTGGAGCGCCGAGGTTGCCCACCCTTGGTCTGTAGAAAGGAAATGTCTGGAAATTTGGCTATAGATCGTTGAGTGTGAATCTTACATGAAGGAATTCTGTGTCCATGTTGAATGATTGGGGCAGAAAAGTTTGGGACTCGTTCAGGGGGCCAAATGAGACCCTTCATTCAACGTGGGGACTTCATTGTTGAACTGCTTCTGAATATGCTTATTGCCTGGCTGTTGTAATCCTCTGGCTTCAATACTTTTTGAGCCACTTGCACAGACCACATGTGTGCATGTCTCGAAAGTCAGAGCAAGCGATTGTTCACACCAGCGGGCGCATTTTATAGTGCATAAAAATGCCATGAATGCCAACGCACCCATATGTGTGAACAGGGCACATAGAAGACAATTGTTTTCTGTGTGCATTGAAC